CCGCAGCCGTAACAGCTGAATACTTAACAGACGCGACATCAAAGACCTCAAAGTAACGTACCCATTAACTACATTAGTCCGAAGAGCTAATTAGTTTTCCCATGCAACTCGACTACCTCGATATTTTCAACTCCCTTTCACCCCCCCCCCCCCCCCCCCCCCCCCCCCCCCCCCCCCCCCCCCCCCCCCCCCCCCNCCCCCCCCCAGCCCACGTCCACCAATTTATATTCTATGGAAATGTGAAGATGCATTCGAGCCCATAACCAAAGCTTATCGCGAGAGTCTTTGTCGAGTTGTATCGAGAACGGGCTGCGAGCACGCAAGAAAGGTGTATTTGATGTTCGAAATCATCATTTTTTTTTAGGAAATATAAGTGGGACGGAGGAGATTATTCAAGATGAAGTTGTATTTGTTGTCGAGAGCAAAAAGCAGCGTTTTTAAGGAGATCCGAGCATCTTTCACAGCTTGATACAGACGTCACTATAGATTCTACCATTTTCAATTATCAAATTTGTTAATTAAATTGCGGGAGAACAATTTTTTTTAAATCATAAATATTAAGTGTCATTAAAATTACATTTTGCACAGAATTATTGTTCTTCTAAACATTCGTTGTGTAGGAATCGATAATTAAAATTGTTTAAACTTTTGGAAATCTTATTTTTTTAGGCATAAAATTGATTTCTGGTAAATTTTTTAATATGAATAAATGTGTTATGATTCCGAACGAATGGTTTTTATGGTGGAAAATTGATTGTTTATAAATTATTTATGGAAAATGCGAGTAATTCTAAAAAATTACAAATTTTTAATTATTTCATCAATCTTCCTCAAAAAGTAAACTTTCTCATTTTTTTTTTATATTTTTAAAATGTTTTCTGACGGTTCAATATCGAGATTCAAATGCAGATCTGAGGAGTTTAAATTATAAAATCATTGTAAAATGCCCGGAAGCTTAGGGACAAATGGAAGTTCAACTACAACAGTACAAAAGCCAAAGTAATTGGATATCCTTAAATGGAAAATAATTGTTTTGATTTTCAGGAAACTGTCACTAATTTTTAGAGTCTCAATTCAAGAATATATTCTCCAGAATTTTCCTCATTTCTATCAATTCTCATGGAATAATTAAACTGAAATTTAAAATTTCCATTAATTTTCACATAATTTCTTTTTATTAAAGCCTCGCTTCACGCACGCTGCGCACGCTAAAAAGCTGTTCACGAATGTCGTGACAAAAAATATGCTTCGTCACTGTATCGAAAAATACTATTAAATGAGGGGCCCCAGTTAAACTTGAAAGTCTTCCGTTGATGAAAATAGCCATCGTGCGACTCTTGATATATCAGATACCCCAATCTAAGAAAGTAAGAAAAATTTTGGACCCAACCCATTTCACCCCGTAAATTAAGGAAAAACGTAGTTTTTATTTTTTTTTGGCTTTGAAATACTCCTTGCACCACAGTTTTCATCCGATTTGAACTTTTTTTTCTTGAATTATTCGTTAGATTTCATAGAATAAAATAGGTATTTTTTCTTTATTATCTCACATACACTGAGAAAAAAAAATGCTTTTGCCAAGTATATTTACTTGCCACAAGTAAATGTATATAAATATCTGCATAGGACATGTGTAAATTTTCTTGTAGTTAGTAAATACACTTGGCAAAAGAAATTTTTTTTTTCAGTGTAGATCATGAGAAAATTAATAGTTACGGTTTCCTAATTTTTCAAGTTTTTGCATAAAAGATGAAAATCATTGTTTTGAGTGGTTGTTTTTTCATCAACCTCGTTATTTTGCAATTGCTCTGTTAGAAATTTTTTGAAAATTAAGCAATAGTTGCACTTAAATTTTTAATGTTGTGAATTTTAATTCAATTTAAGATCAAATCGTTCATAGAATCTCTCGTTCAGGTTGGAAATTCAGGATGAATGGGTTTTCCATGTTAGATTATCACTGATATTTCAATGACATCTACACTGTTAAAAATTTTCGTCAGAATTTTCCGTATGCAATCCCGGAAATTTTTATTGTACTTAATTTCCACTGAAATTTCAGGAAATCTTGTCATTGAAAAATCAAATATTCCATTGATTTTCTGTTCGAATGATCCGAAAATCAATAAAATACTTGATTTTTCATCCATGAAAATAGGGAAAAATCAGGAAAATTCAGGGAAAAATTCAATATACATGGCATTTTGCTTCTGAATATTCATGTTCCATTGAAAATTCAATCAAGCTGTGGAATTTTCGTCTCACTGCGAATGAAAACTCCTGAACTTCCTTGAATTCTCCCTAAAACTTGAAATTTCATAATCATTTTTCCCCCAAATCGGATTCAATGTCACACGCATAAGAATTGCTGTCACATTTTCCATGAAATTTCGAAATTTTCAACAGTGTAGACTTTTCAAATTCATTGCGGAAATTGAACATCAGATCCAACTGAATTTTCCGTGGACTGAAAATTCAGAGAAATTATTGCTTGAATTTTCAAATTATTTAATCATTGTCATTATCACGTGGACCTAAAAATTGCAATTCCATTGAATACTCCAGAATTTAACTGATTGTTCCACAACAAAATACATGAAAATTTCGTGTGAATGAGTGATTGTTAAAAATAGTAAAATTGTTTACTTGAAATTTCCGGAGGAACTTTCAAACAGTGTTTCCCTTCACGGTTATTATTATTAAATTTGTTCCTGAATTATACCGATTAAAAAAAGAATCAAAAGTCTCTATTTCCCCCCACCATCAGGAGTTGCTGGATGCTTTGAGTAATCACTTTGGTCCCTCCTCAACAGTGTGTAGTTTTTTTTTTAAATCTCACTCCCCAGCAGGACTCACCCCCCGGATATCTTCAAATAAAGAAGATCCGTTTCTCCTTCATTGCAGAATCGATTTGATAAATGCTTAGAAGTTAAACCAGCAAGATCTCGGTAAACATTGAGGCTGAGGAGGACCGGTGGGGGTTGTATATGGTGCTTGGGCAAATGAAAATCGCCCACAGGAGGAGCTGAAGGAGAAGAGAGTCCAACACACGAATGAGCACGCTACGAAGTTTAATTAGGTGCGCCTTGGGTGTATATACCCGCTTTTCTCCTCTCCCCGTGTACACCCCCGCTTGTATACAAACCGATATCCATTGCTGGAGTATTGGCTGGAAAGGCGGAGGTGGGGATGGGGATGGGAGTAGATGTGAAGGCAAAAGAGATGGACTGCGAAGTGGAGTGGGTAGGTAAAGGCACAGTGAGGGGATGAAAAGGTCCGCGCTGGGAGGGAGGTGGGGGGCAATGTATGAGCCCTGCTATCTTCCTCTTTTAGTGTGTGGACCAAACAGTCGCACAAGCCAACGACGTTCTCCGAGGGAGAGGGCATCCAACAGTGTCGTTTCACTTGGGAGGATGAGGTATGGGGTGGTAGCGACGACTTTTGTGCAGAAACGACGGATTGAAATTTAGCGTTGGATAGATTTTTCGGTGGAATGAAGGAGAGCAAGAGGAACTAGCGAGATTACTCTCCTCTTCGTGGGGACTTCGATACTCGTGGATAACTTTGGATAAATCTCCTATGGGTTAACGTCTCATTTCCAGGGGCATCCGGCCCCTGTTGTGCTCGCGGTCCAATTGTCAATCTCGTACTCGTCTCATTCTAGTCTTTTTTTTTCTTTGAAATGTTGGAAACTCTTAAAGTCTTGGTCTTAACCTCAAAGAGGACAGAGAAAAGCTCCGGGTTCCTTAAAGTAGTATGAATAGACTCCAGTTGAGTCGTTGAGTGTAACGAGAAAAAAATTATAAATGCTCAAAAAAATTATAATTCAGCGTTGAGATTTTTTTTATATGAATTCTAACTTTGATGAGTGTAAGAACTTAATCCATCACTTCCTTTCGTATCGAGACTCGGGTTCGAAGCTCAGCTGAGCGGTCCGGGATTGTTCCCCTTGAAATTCTAATTTTCTTTGAATTTTTATGCTAACACTTCCTTCTATACACTGTTAAAAATTTTCGTCTGAATTTTCTGTGAAATACCGAAAATTTTTATCATGTTTAATTTCTACTGTAATTTCAGGAAATCTTGTAATTGAAAAATCAAATATTCCATTTTTTTCTGTTTGAATGATCTAAAAATCACTAAAATACTAGATTTTTCGTTTCAATTACTGTGTGAAAATTCGAAAAAATGAGGAAAATTCAGGGAAAAATTGAAAATTCGTCATTTTTTTTCTGAATATTCATGTTCCATTGAAAATTCAATCAAGTTGTGAAATTCTCGTCTCACTCCACCTGAAAACTCATAAATTTCCTTGAATTCTACCTAAAACGTAAAATTTCATAATCACTTTTCGCTAAATCGGATTCAATGTCACTCTCATGAGAATTACTCTCATATTTTCCATGAAATTTCGAAAAATTTCTAACAGTGTACAGAATCTCAATTTTTACTATCTGCACGGTAAATTGTTGAGTGCGACGGGTATGGCCCTGCATTCGAATATTAAAAATTATATTTTTTCATATTAAAAATCACTATGTTCCCACAGTGAAAAATAATTTTATATCATTTCCATGTAAATCAAACTTCCCGTCGCTCTCCCAAAAACTACTACGAAACTGTTCATGAAATTCCCATCTTCTTCAAAAACCGTCATAATAAATACACAATGATTTATTACAAGAGGATAAAGACTAATGCATAAATTTCAATAAAATATTTCTGGTTCTTGAGAAGAGCGCTGGAAACCTCCCTCCACGAAGCTACAGATTATTTACACTGGATTAGGGTTAATTATCTCTAATCATCGTTCTACATGCCTCCAGCAAATAAGACAAATGCGTTGGATATCAATAGAATTCATCTAGTCGCGTGGGGTAGACGGCGCACTGTCAAAAAATCGAGGCAAACTCCCGGAAGATCACGCTCGGCAGTTAAAATTATCATTTATTCATCATAAATCAATTCTGTTAGGTGTTAATGATTGAGTTTGTTGATATTACCATATGAGTTGTGAAACTGTTGATGATGGGTGTCGATTCCTGATCCTTGGTGATGAATATCCAGCATGGCATCCGGGTCGCCGCCGCCCTCAGAGCAGTTACTCAGGGCTAAAACCAAACCGATAGACACACACCTTGCGTTTTCACTAATATTCATTAATTTACTTTTCATCAATACCCGTTTAACGGTTATCAGGTATTTATATTCAATACTTGCACCCTGGCAAGTCATTCCTTTTAATTCATGAAAACTAGATTGACGGGCGAAAGAAATTAATTCACTATCTCTTTATATTTATCTCCAGAAAAAAAAGCAATGACTTGCCGAGTCAGTGTAATTAATTTTGATAATCTAATCGCGAGTGATTAATGAACGAAATTTTGCGAATTATCGTGTCGCGCTATTTCGTTAAGATTGAACTAATTTATTACAAAACACAAATAATACTTCAATGATAAATTCAGTAGCAGAACTAATACAAAACTCGTTAGTAAAGGAAATCAAATAAGAATGGAAAGAAAAGAAAACAGAAGAGAAGTCTGTAAATCAACAAATCAATAAGAGAAAAATCATGTCAACCAAACTGTTTATACAGCTGATAAAAAAAATTACATATTCAACTGAAAAATCTAGTATTTTTTACACAGTTCTTTTTATAAAAACTTACTTCAGGACAGTTTGAGGAACTCAGTGACAGGTACAAAAATAAAGGAGTCAACAGGACGTCAAAACTTTTGGGATATGGTTACACAAGAATAGGACTGGATATCCTACTGAATTAAATGAAAACAATAGGGAAACCAACAAAACCCAGTGTTCAATCGCAGCGAAATATAAGCAAGTATCAAGAGCGCGTGTCAGTGCCAATTTGAAAAGTTTAAAGTTTCGGATTCAGTTTATATTCAATAATTTAATCCATGGAAAACGTTATAAATTTACATCTCATCACGATGACTCGGTGCATTTGTCTATCCGTTTGGTTTACAAAGTGTCTCGCACCGTCGTATTACCCCTCAAGGGTTAAATCCAATGACACTTTATGGTCGAATAGCAAGAGAATGCCAGGAGAAGGCAAGAGTTTCAATCATAAAATAAACTTGTGCACTTGAGGATTTTTATCAGCCGCCGTCCAGTCCTCTACAGATGTTGTTGGTTTCACTCTTAGGATCTTCAAAGATGACTGTTGTGCAAGTGTCAATGGTTATTTCAGTGTATTTGGCTCTTGAGGGGACAGGGAGAGTTGAAGTGAATTAATAAAGTACGGCTTCAGTGTAAATGTAAAAATTCAAGGATTTTTTTTATCAGACCTGAAGCTAACTAATGAAGAGCGCCCTAAACTCGAGACTCTCGCATGATCGGGGAATGGGCGGTGGCCCAAAATGACAGGGAGTCACGATGAGTCAGACAACAAGTCCCCCAAGCGTGAGTGATATTTTACAGGGTAACCTAAAAAATAACAAAACCATGAATGTGTGCAGAGTGACTTATCTGTCTGGTGGCATACCACGAGTGTCGTCTTGCCTGCTTATCAGCTTGCACCGACAGTGATGTTGAATTCGAGCCGGCTCGATGCCTACCAACACACCTCGCACGGCAGTTTGATGTAACGAATAAAAAAAAAAAATCGTCGAGATCGAGAGAAACAAGAGGTTTGGATATCGGAGGTGAGGGAAAAAGCCTTCAATTCCATCGTTAAAACTAAAGGGAAAAAAGCAAAACAAAGAGATGCACCCTTGGTGTAGTTATGCAATTGATTGGAGCTTGATGCACGCAGTGTCTCGGAAGAGTTCACCTGGGTTTAATGATGACAGTGAGTTCCTGGAGTTGGTGGCATTACAACCGGGTGGAGGAGTGGTGAATAAAACGTCTGGAAGGATTTCAATGTTCGAGGCAGTTTGACCTTTCTCCGAGTAGTGGAGAATAAAAATGTACGGGGGCGATGCCCTTGAAGTGGTAACTCAGGCATTAAACCGTCTGAATTCACATTTCTAACAGACGCCAAATCTCGCGGAGATGAATGTCAAAGAGATGACGGGTCAGTGAAGACCGCGGAATTCCCCAAAGTCCACTCAACTTTCACCTGAATCTCAAGCAACTGCGAACCGCCTATCTGAATAATTGAGAATTGCATACGGTTGGAGACTATAGGCACTACGATCTAGCCCCTGTTTCCACCTGAAGACGAATTTTATAGGATCAAGCACCAGGTCTGATGCAAACATTCATCTCGGTTCAATCATGAAATCGAGTTCCTGGAGTTGGCATTAGGAATGTTTTGACTGAAACGTCTGGAAGGATTTCAAAGTTTGAGCAGTTTGACCTTTCTCTGAGTAGTGGAGAATAAAATGTATTAGGTTGATGCCCTTGAATGGGTAACTCAGGTATTAAACCATCTGAATTCACGTTTCTAACCGACGTCGAATCTCGCGGAGATGAATGTCAAAGAGATGATGGTGCAGTGAAGACCTCTGAATTCTGAATGAGAATCTGGAAAAACGGCAAAGCCCACTCAACTTTCACTTGGATTTCAAGCAACTGCAAACCGCCTATCTGAAAAATTGAGAATTGCATACGATTGGCGACTACGGACATTACGATCTGGCCCCTGTGTCCACCTGAAGACGAATCTTATAGGATCAAGCACCAGGTCTGATGCAAACATTCATCTGGGTTTAATCACGACATCGAGTTCCTGGAGTTGGCATTAAAATCTGGTCCAGGAGTGTTTTCACTGAAACGTCTGGAAAGATTTCAAAATCTGAAGCATTTTGACTTTCTCTGAGTAGTGGAGAATAAAAATGTATTGGGTTGATGCCCTTGAATGGGTAACTCAGGCATTAAACCATCTGAATTCACGTTTCTAACCGACGGCGAATCTCGCGGAGATGAATGCCAAAGAGATGACGGGTCAGTGAAGACCTCGGAATTCCCGGAGAAAATGGAAGAAAATCTGGAAAAGCCACAAACCCCACTCAACTTCAACCTGGATTTCAAGCGTGTCACCTATCTGAATAATTGAAAATTGCATACGGTTGGAGACTAGGGATATTACGATCTGGCCCCTGTGCCCACCTGAAGACGAATCTTATAGGATCAAGCACCAGGTCTGATGTAAACATTCATCTGGGTTTAATCATGACATCGAGTTCCTGGAGTTAGTATTAAAATCGGATTCAGGAGTGTTTTGAATGAAACGCCAGGAAGGATTTCAAAGTTTGAACAGTTTGACCTTTCTTCGAGTATTGGAGAATAAAAATGTACTGGTTCGATCCCCTTCATGTGGTAATTCAGGTATTAAACCATCTGCATTCACGTTTCTAACAGACATCGAATCTCGCGGAGATGAATGCCAAAGAGATGACGGGTCAGTGAAGACCTCGGAATTCCCAGAGAAAATGGAAAAGAATCTGGAAAACCACAAACCTCACTCAACTTCCACCGTGATTTCAATCTTTCCTCGAGACTCCAAGACAGAATATCAAGCAAATGCGTACCACCTATCTGAATAATTGACAATTGAATACGGCTGGAGACTATGGACATTACGATCTAGCCCCTGTTTCCACCTGAAAACTAATGTTATAGCATCCAGCAATAGGTTGGACGCGAAAGCCCCTCACCAGCGACTCGCTTTGTTGCCCTACCTTTGCCGTCTTTCCACCTTCCTAAGAGGGCGGTTTGCACTGGGAACTTGGACGGGGTGGAGAACTGAGGGGCCGAGAGGGGACCGCAGCACAACTTCGCTACAAACTCTTAACCGAGACAAAACAGGGTTCGTATTGATTTTTACGCCAGTCCTGTGCACGTAACGTCCATCGCTGACACAGGGTAGCACCGCAGGTCTAGTCATGGCGTTACGATATATGACTATGTAACGCTTGTCCATAGACTGTGTCACATCAAAGTCAAGACATGTAACATACGAATGAATTGAATTATTAAGTTCATTGTTTTCTATTTTCCCCACCCTCAATTCTAAATTGAATATGAAGGGTATGGGCTCTTGGAGATTGCAATGAGAGAAAAACAAACAAGTTCGCAAAAATAATTGTTTGATTCGCATTTAAAAGCCTCAAACAGGAATAATTGCTCTGCTTTCAACAACGACGAAATATTTGGCTCAAGAGGCGACTCATTCACACAAGACGGTGCCTTTTCAGGATAATAATATCTTTTACAGAGGCATGTTTATCAATAAATATTGTGTGCCCTAAGTTACAAGATTGCTGTCATATCATTGTTATTGTTTTATATAAAACGAGCATTTGCCGGGAGCAGAGTACGTATGGGAGCATCGAATAACGAAGAAGTAGTGCTAGAAATTACATTTCTTGCTTGCACAGAGAATAATTTTTTTTTGAAAAGACTAAATCTATTTTTGCAATAAAAATTGCCATTTCAGCGTACGCTTTACATGTTTGACACAAAAAAACTCCTTTTTTGATCATTTTTAACACACGATTTTTTGGGCACAAATAAGACTAGATTGAGAACTCTGCTGTTTTTCTCTTAGTGTGGAATGAATAAATCATGATGGTCGACGACGGAAAGAATTATTGAAGGAAGAAAGATATAAGAGAAGTGGGAACCGTCTTTAATTATCGATAACTCGAGATTGACAGAGTAGAATTTAACGAATTTAATCTGTTAAAAAATTTATTTTTCATACTTGAAATCGTGACGAAATGGATTTAAATGGCATCACTTGTTCCCCAGATATCTGAAGAATCAAGAAGCCGTATTTTGGTTAACCCTCTCCTACGTCGAGAGAAATTATACGCGTTGGGATCATACACATCTCTTTATCTTAAATTTTTCGATTCACTTCCAATACTCTTGTTGAAAATCAATAAACTCATTTTTTTATTTTAGTGGAACTTTTTCAATTGTATGAACGAAATAATTAATTCATTCCAAATAAAGGATTATTACACGTTAATGAATTCGTTCTCTCCTCGGTCTAAACAATTATTTCATTTGTAACTAATGTCGGTAGTTCGATCAAGAAAATATTTGCTTGTATAATTTCAACACTTTATTTGAATAAAAAAATACAAGCAGTAATCAACATTAAATTTAATTGATTCAAATAAAGTTCATTTAATTC